AGCTCAGGTTCTTTTTTACCCGAGGAGGTTTCGGGGGGACGAGAGGCTCCCGGCTCAGCCAGCGGCGCTGTAAGGGAGAGGCTGAGCCACACTGACTCCAGGGAGCAACCTCAGCCCCTGGGCGCTGGACCGGTGCCGCGCTGTCCCCTGACGCGTGAACGCCCGCAGGCGGGGGGACGGGGATGGCCGCCTCCTGGGGGCACGAGGCCATTCCCCGCTGCGCAGGGAAAGCCGGTCAGCGCGAGCCACCCGGGATTACTGCCACCAGAGCAGACCTCCCTCGCAGGCAGGTCTAAACGGGTAGGCTGGAGCTCTGCCCTGGAGCAAACCCTGCTCTGGATGCTGGCTGGATGGGAAGGAAGTGCTGGTCCCTCCCCGGGGCAGAGGGAAGACGTGGAGGTTGCTCACAGACCGTGGGCCAAGCTCCCTCCGACTCACAGCTGCCCGTGACTCCCCTGCTCCCCAGATGCTTCAGCCAAGGAACGTTTGTGTAGGACCTACCCGACTTGGTCTGCTTCATGTCCACAACCTTGGCGTTGGCGCTCATCTGATAGAGGGTTTCCAGGAGCTGGCTGGTCTTGCGATAGAGCATGTGTGTGGCCAGACCTTCTCCCTGCTTGTTCTTGGGGAGGGAGACCTTGGGTACCTGCAGAGGCGTCAGGCTGGCCAGCTCCATCTTCATCTGGTCTCCCTGGGACCGACGGGGAGAAGGTCGTTAGGGGCAGGGCGTTTATTTGGGAGGAACTGAGCAGAGACAATGCGGCGTAAAGGCAGCAAAAAGGAGAGCCCAAACAAAAAACAGAGGGCATAAAAATATAGCCCAAACCACCAGAGGGTGGGCCTTCCAAGGGTGGGAGCACGGATGCCCACGGACAGCAGCGATGTCCCAAACACACCAGGACGCCGGAGGGAAGCCCTCGGACAACCAGCTGAGCAGGCGTAAGGCTTGGGGAGGGGGAAACAAGGTCAGCGCCTCAGCACTTACAGAACCGTAACTCGACAGTGGCCACGTACGTGACTCACTAGATTTAAGAGCCATCATTAACAGCTTCACACTTGTGCATAATAATCTGCATAATTATATGTCTGTGAATTAATATTGGTGGAATGTTATTCAGTTAATTAGATTATTTGCTGCTTTGCCAATTTCCTCATAGTGCGTTCGTTAATCAATAAATGCCTTAATCAGCCTGCATCAGCCGGCACCTGAAGTCCCCCGTCTGAGGGGGGGACCAAGGCTGGGCAGTGACACCACCAGCACCCCCGGCTCCCCCGGCCGCTCCGGCTCCCAGCCGCCGACCCTGCGCTCGGACCAAGGGCTCGGCCCCTTCCCCAGAGGAGCCAAAGCCCGTCACTAGCGGAGAGCTCGCCGCGAGCCCCGCAGCAGAGCCGTGCTCCTGACCACCACCAGATGTGGTGGACTAAGCGCCCTTCCTCCAGCGCATCCCACGCGGACCCGCATCCCACGCGGACCCGCATCCCACGCGGACCTCTCTCCCTGGCCCTTCCTGGCCTCTTGGGACACGACTTAGTCCAAGACTATCAGCCGAAGGCAGGCACCAACCCAGCGCAAGCCCGGAGCCCAGAGCCTGC